TATATATATATATATATATGTATTTAAAACGAGATTGAGGGTAGAATTACCTCGGGACGGTGTAGAATGTAGGCCTGGGAATATTATTGTCTGTAGAGGTCGGTTCCTCTTTTGCCTTTATTCTTCAGGTTCTTGCCGAGCTCCTCGACTTCAAGATTTTGTTGCTTGTCTCAACCTAATTCTACCTATTCTATTTATTACAATATTTACTAAGGCCCTTAGTCCTTACCTTTACATTCTCTAAAAAATAAATTTACAGGCCCATGCATTCAGTTAGGCCCCAAACTTTTCATATCTTCTAACTAATATAATAAGCCCACATCTCATTTACCCTAATTTCATTATTGGATCCTAAATCCAATTATCTCAAGCTCCACTATTAAGGCCCAAAAGAAAAACCTAACTCTCTCCTAAATATACTGCTATCGATTAAAATGGTTGTGGCTGAGATCTTTTCTCAAATTGCCGACTCCTAATCGTGCTCCTTCAGAAAATTTCGTTCAATTCAATCGGATATGAGAATCGAGTCGCCGATCGAATTCCAATGGCAGTGGAGGAGGTCCAACGATCGAGATTTGTGAGGTCGGCACGGCGGAGATCGGCTCTTGCGAAGTCGGGTCTCGGCGGCTCAGCGGAGGTCGGCGGTTCGCGGAGTGGTTGACCGCGGCTGGGGTCGAGGTTCGGAGCTGGTCCTGGCCAGGTTGCGTAGCCCGACGGTCGGCGAGTTGAGGGACCGGGATAGGTGAGGTCGGCCCCGACTGCGGCAAAATCGTGAGTGGCGAGTGTTTTTCAGGGGGTCCGTTCTCCGGTAGCGGTGGCCCGGCTGTTCGTGGAGTCGGCGGCGTGGCGGCTCGGCGTCCAAGTTGAGGGTGGCGTTCGCGGAGTCAGCGACTTTTCAAATCGGCATCTTGGTTTGTCCGGAGTTGGGCTGTCGGGTCACAGTCAGTCCGGCTCGAGGATTTCAAGATCCGAGCTCGATGTCGACGGTGAGGTCGGTCCCGGAAGTGGGATCTGAGGACGGTAGCGACTAACTCGGCGTTTGAGGGCGTCGCTTCCCAATTGCGGCGGCGAGTCGCATCCGGCGGTCCAGCGTCACGACTGTGGTGAGGTAAGAAATCGGCGAGGCGGTGGTGCGAGTTCGGCGTCCGACAAGGTAGCGAGTTCGGCGGGTGTAGCTCTGCGTCCGACGGTGTAGCGAGTTCGACATTCGACGAGGTAGCGAGCTCGTCGAGTTCGGCATTCGGCGATTTGCGGGGGTAAACCGGAGATCTCGCCAGCGACTTGGCGAGGTCGGCGATTCGAAGTGTGGGTCGGAGGTCTGCCCCGGCGATTTGGAGCTCGTCGGCGGGTGAAAAAGCGAGCTTGGCCGCCGGTTGTGTGACGGAATCCGGCCGGCGCCTGTGATGCGACGACGAGGAATAAAGCTTGGTCCGCCGATTGTGTGGTCGGCCCTGGCGGAGTTCGGCTCTTGCGAAGTCGGGCCCCGGTGGCTAGTTGTGAGGTCGGCACCGGCCGGGCCGGGGAAGTTTGGTCGGCGCCGGTAGTGCGCCGAGTTGATGCCCGTACTGCCGCAGTGTGAGCTCGGAGTCCGGCTGCCACGGTGTGTGTGGAGTCGGCGGCTCGATAGGTCGGCATCTGGGCTTGTTCGGCTGGACGGTTGTGAAATTGGTACAGGTGAGGTACGAATTGCGGCTGTGCGTCACCTCGGTATCCAGCGGGTATGATCTTTGGAGGCCCGAATAGATGCGAGGTTGGAGACGGTGGTTGAATGGTCTGACCGTGTCTAGGTCGGCACCTGCTGAGGCTTCAATGGTCCATCATGGTGTGAAGTCGACCGTGTTGAGGTCGGCTGTCTGGCTGTTTGAAGTTGGTCCCGGGCTGAAGTCGGCTGTAACTTGGGGTCGAGTTTCAAAGTTCCGACAAGATGAGGTCGGGATCGCTGTCTACATGGTTCGGCTTGGTGGCGTGAGGTTATCTCGTTGAGGCGAGTAAGCTCGGCACCTGCGGTGTGAGGTCGTCCACGAGCTGTAAGGTCGGAGATGTCGGGACCGGCACGTCGAGGTCGGCCCTGGTGGTTGTTTTTAGCCCGACAGTGAAGGTGGTGTTGGGATAATTGAGGTCGGCCCCCAGTGACCGATAGCTTCGAAGTTCGAGCTCGACGTCGAGCTGCGGCTATGATGTCGGGTCAGCCCGGTCTTGGGTGTTTCGGAGTCCGAGCTCGGCATCGGGCCGTGGTTGTGGGTTCGGATCAGCCCGGGCTTCGTCATGGAGTTGCGTTCAGTCCGTGTTGTGAAGTTGTGCGAGCTCGGCACTTGCCAGTTGTGGGCGGGGTTAATTCGTGAGGTTCGAAGATGGTCGACACTTCCTGAACTTTTACTTGTGTTGCTTTCTTTTTTTCTTTTTTTTTTATTTTATTATTTTTTTAATTGATATCATTATTATGTATCAAACATGATGTGATGGGAACAGTTCAAACTGACAGAAATAGTGTGGGTAACGTGGCTCTGTCATGTCCAAGGGGGATGGCTTTGTTCTGATTTTTTATTCAACGAAAAAGAATGAAAAAAGAAAAGAAAAGAGGAAGAATGCCTCTGCGTGAAATTGCAGCGTGGGTTCCAGATAAAAAAAGGGGAAGAAAAATATCAAGAATCTGTGTGGGTTTTTTATTATTTCAAGATTCAAGATGTAGATCATCATGTACTGAAAAATCGTGACAAAAAAGAGAACAAAAAGGGGTGAGGATTCTTGTGGAAATTTCTTTCTTTCATGTTAACATTTTTGCATTTTTGGATTTATTCTTTTGCACCTCAAAAATAGGATCAGAGGCAATGGAAAATTAAAATAAGCATATGGTGTTCTTACCAAGCCTTGAGGGAATACTTTCCAGTGCAAATGTAGCCGTTTTCCGGCAAAAGTTGACTCCGAGCAAATTACGGAGCCCTTCTTCTAGCGCCAAACTGTTGATGTCGAAAATCGGACGATCAACCGTCAAATGCAAATTGAATCTTTGTATGGAAAAAATGAAAAATGAAACCGATGAGAATGGTGTATTGAGGAGAGAGTCATCCAACCTCCCCTACTCTCTCTCTCTAGTGTCATGTAGGAAGAGAAAATGAAAAAGGCCCCCCTTCTCTCTCCTATCCTCCACATATATATACATGTAGGCCAAAGTAGGTAAAATAGAAAGAATAGTACAATAGCATTAATGCGGGGTCCAAATTGGGGGACCCACCTATAACTTGCGACGGCTTTGATTGACGCCTATCTTATATGCAATTATTGCGTCTACCAGATGCGGTTTTTTGGGTGATCAATCTCGGGAACGTGTTTGTATATTATTTATCGCGTATTTTCGGCTCCTCGATTATAGACCGTATTTTATTATTTAATTTATCATTTATTTAATTGGAGCCAAATTAGGTATCAACA